TGCTTGTTTAGTTCTGTGTATCCAGCTTGTGCTTTGGCTTTTTCTGCTCTTGTTCGACTGGTATTGATTGCTGCCTTCTTGTTCCTTCTATCTTGAATCTTATCCAGTGTATCAACAGTGATCCATTCCTTGTAATGGTGCTTCTTGTGACCCAGGACCTCATGACATGTTGAAGTGATTGCCTCTTTGATCCCCTTCCAGTCGCTCTCCGCAGTAGTTCCTTCTCCAATGAGTAGATCATGAAAAGCCTGGAACTTATTGCTGAGGACTATCTTAAATTTGTCGAGTTTGTTAGTATCCTGAAGAAAAGCCGTAATGCAATTTTGTGATATTGTCCGCCCCGTTGTCCAGTACTTTTCGAGTTTCACTTTCATCTTGGCGACCAGCAAGTGATGATCCGATGCTATATCAGCTCCTCTCTTGGTTCTCACGTCTTCCATCTTCCTCCTGAACGGTTTCTTGATGTAAATATGGTCGATTTGGTTTTGCGTGGTGTGATCCGGTGAAGTCCATGTGGTTTTGTGTATGCGTTTACATGGGAACATGGTGCCTTTTATGACCAGTCTATTGAAGGCACATAAGTTTGCAAATCTCTCACCATTTTCGTTCCTTTCTTCCAGTCCTTGCGTTTCATGATGTCTTCATATCCAGTGTTGTCCGTTCCAACCTTGGCATTGAAATCTCCCATCAGAATTGTCAGGTCCTCTGTTGGAAACTTCTCGACGATTGACTGCAGCCTATTGTAGAATTGATCTTTAGCGTCTTCAATGTGGTCGTTGGTAGGCGTATTGCATTGGATGATGTTCATTGAAATGCACTCTTTCTTTATTTTGAAGGACACTTTGATGATCCTTGGTCCATGAGATTCCCATTCTGTAAGTCCATTTTGTGCTTGTTTGAACAGCATTAATGTAACTCCTTATGTATCTGAAGCATTTTCTTCTTCGTGGGCGGAGTATAACAGGAGCTCTCCTGAAGTTAGTCGTTGTTGTCTTACTTGCGTCCAATGTGTTTCACTGATCCCAAGACCTCTAGGTTGTATCTCCTCATTTCTGCAGCAATTTGGAAGGCTCTCCCGGTGTCCCACATTGTACAAACATTCCATGTACCTAAATAAATGATCGCTCTGGTTGTCAAGAGGAGCATCGGCCTCGTAACTTCCGAAGGAATTCGGCTTTCATCATGAGGCGTCATAGTTCTTGTAAACGAAGACCTTCTGACTTCCGGGGCAGAGTTTAAAAGGTTTGAATAATTTTTTCTGGCTAGCGTTTTTTAGCGAGTTAGTTTTCTACGGGATGAGGACGCTAACCCCATGCTCAACCCTTCTTCTTTATCCGGGTTTTGGACCGGCAGTAGCCTTCGGAGTGACTCCAGGCGGATTTAGTACTGCTCTAATAATAGACCTATTCCTAACATTGTAGATTTGTCATGATATAACTGCCTAATCTATACGATCTTACGTGAAAGTTGCAAAATCGACTACACCAACTCACTGTATCGTATCATTTTTATCAATACATGATGTAGAAAAAGGTTAGGCTAGAGAAGAAACAATATATTTAATATGAATAGAAGATATAAAGTAATATTCAGAGTGACCACGCCTGCATGGCTGAGCCATGCCATCCCATCAACTCCAGTCCATTCAATTCATTGTTCGCGACTTCTCCATCGTTAGGTATTTCTCCGCGTTAAATATCGAACATATATTTTCCGAGTAATCTCATATTCAGCTTTGAGGATTGTGTGGTTATGATCCAATGCCACTACAAGTTATCGTTACCACATAGCCAGTGGCTGCTTGATTCCCTTGTTGTTATAATCTTCATTGCACTCCAATTCTTTCATTGTCGTCTTCTTACACATCACCGAAAAATAAAACCATCTATGTATTCTCGAAAAGATCATCTCTTAGCACTTGATTTACCACTTTATTATCCTAACACTGCAACTAACCAATCTCCTGAATAGCGATACCGTAACTGCCGATATCCATCGATCCCACAGTCCTGAGAACTCATTCTCGTAACTACAAGATATGCATATCCTCAAAAAATAAATACTAGACTGATTAGAATTACTTCAGTAAAGTGGTTAGACTACCACCATTTAAACATAAACAGATACATGGTGCCGTGCCTAAACTATAGGAAGCGAGTGCAAAGAAATCACCTGTTTCACACATGCTTGGCGACACTGCTATCTTTTGGCTGAACAGTACTCTCGGACATTTCAGCCGACCCACACCAACTACACCGGTGACAATTACATCTGCAACTCCAAAGGACTTTCCGAAGTGAACCTAAGCGCTGACTTGGTGTTCCGGAAACTGCAGCACTTAATAATAGACAATTCTCCTGGCCCGGATATGCTTCATTCTGAGGACGGCTGCCTCAATCCTGGCAACGCCGCTTAGCGTGATGTTTTCACACTAGCTAAGTCGAGGCAAATTACCGAAAAACTGGACGCTGGTTCACATCACACCAATTTTCAAAGGAGGTTGACGAGGCAAACCTTCAAGTTGTTGTTCGGTGACTCTTCTGTCATTACTTTCAAAAATCAAGAGGTCCCTGATATGCGATGATATGCATGACTATTTGTTGTCCTTAAATTTCTTCTCACCCCAACAGCATGGTTTCAGGAAGGGTTACTCTTGTGTAACCAACCTGCTGACTGCGGTGGACAGATGGACAAGCATCCTCGATCCCAAGGGGAAGGTCGATATCATCTACCTAGATTTCTCAAAAGCTTTGGATAAAGTTAACCATATATGTCCAATCAATAAGCTCAAACCAGACCACCTCTAATCGATTGACTTATTTAATATCTGCAAAATCGACATTTTAAGGTCAGGATTAACTTCAATTTATCTCAGTCTGTTGAATGTCCTAGTGGGGTTCCCCAGGGCTTAATACTAGGACCTCTTCTCTTCTTGATCTATATAAATGATCTTCCTCAATAGGTCACGTCAGACTTATTACTTTTTGCCGATGACGTGAAACTTTGGAGAGAGATACGCAACCAAAACGATATACAGGCACTTGAGCAGGGTCTGACTCGACTTCAAAGTTGGGCAGACGATAACGGACTTACCTTTAACACTTCAAAGTGTAAAGTAGTCCATCTGCGACATGTCGTAGACTACAGTTATAACTTAGAAAACTCCTCTCTAGTAGTATCCCAAGTCGAAAATGATTTAGGAGTCCTGGTGCCCTACGATTTAAAGTCTTACGCTAACTGTGACAAAAGTGCCTTCCGATCAAACCTTGCACTGGTAACATTGAAGCGTATTTTTGGCCAGTTTGACGGAAGAACTTTCCATATAATCTTTAATAGTTTTATCTGTCTCCATTTAGAGTACGGAAACATAGTATTTCCTGCCTCACTCCAAAAGAATAAGGACACTCTGGAGCGTATCCAACGGCGAGCCACGAAATCAGTTCGTGGACTCAAATCTAAGCCTTACTACGAACGCCTTCATTCACTAGACCTTTACCCATTAGAGTATAAGCGTCTTATAGGTGATTTATTAATGGCTTATAGTATTCTTAACACTTCTGGATATCCCCTTAAACACCTACTTAATCTTAGTTACAACAATAACCTAAGAGGTAACACCCAAAATCCGGAGACAAAACATAGCAGAACGGACTGTAGACACAACTTCTACCCCTTAGGAGTTGTCAAATGCTGGAATTCTCTGCCGAGCGAGCTAGTCCAAGCGACTTCTCAGGGGTGCTTTAAGAGGCAACTTGATCTATTCTTAAGAACCAAGGATAGTATCACACTATGATTTAACAATTTCTTTTCCTCTTTTATTGTTAGAATACCTAGGTCCCTGCCTGGAGATTTTGGTGATCCCCTGCTACTAGACACGGAAGCCTGTTAAGCGGAAGCTTCTTCTATTCCGTCCACAATCATTTGAACGAGTTGAATCATTTTGAACCGCGGGCATTCTAAAAATTGTACGTAACGCTTTCGTGTCTATTACTGGATTCCGTTAGTTTCACAATTGTGTAAATTTTCGTGCTAACTTTTGAGATATATTCGTACAGATTGTTATGATCGTCTGTACATATCATTGTTGGTAGTCGACTTGTCTATTTCCTATCGAGATGAACTTACTATATAACCGAATCAACCAACAAAGGGAAATAAAGGCGAACAAAGGGGAAACGCGTCAAAATGTCTGCCCGGGGGAAATAATGTGAACTTCTTCCTTTATGTCGCTCTGTCTCTCAAATATAGCAGAATTGTTTGTTTTTCGCCGAATTGTCTACTTTTGCTCCAAATTTCATAACACCGTTGGCATAACTCCAAAGGTCTCATATGTTCGCCTTTATTCCCACAACAAATCACAGTCAAACTGAAATCCACGGAAAAAATGTATATGTTTAAATAATTTTTTATAAAGGAAAAGTGTATTATTACACAACATAATGTTGTATATATGTTGCTATATAATGTTGCTATATATAGCAGAAGCTTGATCGTGCTTACATGGCCATGTAAGCAAGAAAGTAAGCTCATTTTCAAAATAATGTTGAAAAAGAAGTTGAACATAAACATTTCACGGATTACTACTTTTAGCCACGCCTGTTTGGCTATTAAGAAAAAAATATTCTTGTGAATTCTGAAGTGTAAAGAACAAAAGAAATTACAACGATATCTGAATGACATGCTTTGGCATACCTAGATACTTGAAGCCTCACTTACGGTTATGTTCGTTAACACTGTCGACTGTAACTATAGAGCAGTAGGGAAGTTTTCACTTTAAGTTAGTACATACTTGTTCTTGTTTCCTTCGGTTACGCTTTAATATTATTATTGACGTCGTGAATATAACCTTGTGTAGCGATATCGTACAGTTTCGCAAGGTCTTTTTCGTTAACAGATGGTGACAAAGCGATTGGTTAATGCACCTGAAGTTTAAATAATAGATATAGGTTACTTCGTATGCAGCATTTCCGAAGTGCTCGTTTTGACGAAGTGCCAAGTGGGGTAAAATTACTGGCAACCTCAGGTGTCATGAGGTACGACATAACATATGGCATTGAGGTTTTAGGATCGTTATCCATTAACCTCGTTAACATGGCCATCTGTAATACGAACAAATTGTAAAATTATTGTGGTCCACTTACACGTCTGTACGTTGTTTCTTTCTGCTGCAAACCAGTGTCCAACATCTGCAGTTCCTCTTCAGGGAACTGCTGACTTGACAGTCCGCAATCGAATTGGTGTGGATGTTCGCGTTCACTGAACTTCGCTAGTAGCAGCTTTACATTTGTACTCAAATCAGTAATGGCTGACGATATGTCCTGCCACATTGTACTCAGGTCAGTAATAGCTGAAAACATGTTCTGCATCATTGTATACAGCCTGTCAAATCTGAAAATCTTCACTTGATCGTACAGGTGACTTACTGGGTCGCTGAAGCACAGCCTACACGCTTAAATTACAATGTTAATGTATCTAGTTGTGTCGAACTACTTCATTAACATCTAAATAGTAATGGAACGTGATTGGCGAGGCGACCCTGTCAAACAACCGAGATTTCGGATATTGTACGTAGCTATTTCCAGCCTTAATCTCGGCCACATCCATGTCTACTGAATTGTAAAGAAATCCTTCTTTATGCTTCAATGCACCTCTAGGAAATGTTAGTAAGATTATTGTACTGACCTCTTGGGCTTCTAATTGTTGAGTGGCAAGATTTTTTCCTCCGTTGAAGTATTTTTACAGTGAAGTTCCATCATTTGAAGAAAAACTAACATGTTCTTTGCAGACTGCAGACCATCTATAGTAAACTATAGTTTTTATGTTTGTTGCTCGTGAATGACTTTACAACCTGCCTTACCATTGTGATTAACCATGTACCTAACAGCAGAACCAATTAATTTGTTCGAAACTGACTTTAAAAGTCACTACACATCAAAGCAACATGGTGAAGTGTTTGCAATCAGAAATAAAACTATGACGTTCATAGCTGTAATGACAAACAGAATAGTTATGAAAATTTATTTTATCTTTATAAAACAGCACCTCCTGTGACGTATACTATTTAATGTGTTTCAAGTGTCCCAACACGCGTCACTCGACATGGTTATTTGCATAGCTCATCTTTGAACCTCAACGTTTTTTCTACTTCAAAGGCCCACCGTTTTCCCGATAGGTATGACTCATTTCATCACTATATTTCTTGATGTCAGTAATTAGATTGTATTTCTAATCTTATTCCATTTTGGTAGCTCATAACTTCTGTCTTGTTAAAGCAAATGAAACTAAATGGATAAAAACTAAAATTCTCTTTTTAGGTAACATTCTATCTGAAATGAAACTGGATATCAGAGACAGTAAATCTGATGTTGGACGAAGTGCTTGTGACATAATCAAGGCTATCCTTTTAGACTCAACTAAGGATAACCGTATTGTTACAATCGGTTTATCTGGTAATTTAATCTTTTAGTTAACTTCCTTTTATTAAGGTGGGAGTATGCCTCATCTCCTTGCACCACACCTCTGCTCTTTCTCGGAAATCAATTGGGAACTAGTTCATTTCTTTTATTGCGATGAAAGACTAGTTCCATTAGATAGTGAAGATTCAAATCATCATTGCTACCAAGAACTACTCTACTCTAAAATTAACATTCCATCCTCAAATATTCATACTGTTAATACAACATTATCTTGTAGAGTGTCTTTAATCATAATATAAATCATGTTTAGTAGAAGATTCAGCTGCTGATTATCAAAAACAGCTCTTATCATTCTTTGGAACAGCTAACGGTTATCCACGTTTCGACCTACTGCTTCTTGGTATGGGTCCAGATGGTCATACATGCTCCTTATTCCCTGATCACAAATTGCTCTATGTAAGTCAATATTTTATGCCGAACGTTCAAGACACTATCGATTTGTGCTTCTAATTTACTTCAATATCTTGATGCTGCATAATACTTTGTATTTTTCACTGTTCACCAAGGAAAATGCAAAGAGAGTTATTTTCCTATTGTTACAATAAGGCTTCTGGCACGATGATGTATCAATTTAATTCTTTACTCTTTCTAGCTCCACAAATAATTTAAAATAACAAAATTATTATGAGTTATATTAAACCATTGGAAAAGTCAAATACAACTGAAGGGATATGGATGAACGGACTGTTAAATTAATATTACTACTGTTCTAATTTATCGCACTACGTTATAATGGAGGTAAAAGAAAGCAAAAGAAATAACATTATTAAACAGAAAGTCAATCAGTCGGAAATAAGGTTATTATGGATGAATTTACACTATAGTGATTAGTTTTGGGTTATGCAACTATCTATACAGATCTTCAACAACAGTCAGCGACTGCGTGTACTTTTCAGAGATAAACATAGGTACTGTCGTGAATTATGTAACAATCCTCCTCCTTGTTGCGTTTCTCAATGAGTAGTCAACTCGAGAAATTGCAGTATCGAAACTAATATTGTGTAACACTCAAGAAAAGTAGTAGCAAGAAATAAAGAGTACTAAATAGTGTAATGTTTTCAAGAATTGAAAGACAGCAGGAATATTAAATGTAGTACCAATGATTTCAAATTATCACTTTTATTAGCAGTTTTATTGGTGTAACCAAAGTAGATATGGATCTTAGGTTTTAACATTTTTTATCGTTTCACATTCAGCGAGTTCACTGATTCTTTTCTCATTCAGTTTCCCATTATTGTTGATACTAATATTCCATCCCGTTCGCCTTTAATCTTGATAATTTGACCTTGTTCTGATGCGAGTTAAGACAGCTTTAACCGAAACCTGTTCAGGTTTAACTGACTGACGCAGACACTCCATAAAGATATATCAATCAACTGGATATTTATGTTTAAACTGTTTTGTCAGTCTTCATATTAACTTCAAATCACAGATTTCTATATTAAACGAAGTGTTAAACGGTTAACTGAATAGAGTACCATTTACGTTTCAACCAGTAAACCTGAATTTCGAACAACTCTTCAATCTAATTTAATTTGGGTAGCCGGCTAGTATTATTAACCTTTCTTCGGAGTGGTGTTGTACCCTGGCGACTAGTTAAACCTATAATTAGTGAATAAGTCACACCTAACTGAGTGTTAATGGATTTAATTAATAATTTATACCTATTCATATAAAAATTCAAGGAGCTGTTTAGTCAAAATTCATGAATTTTATTTTCTAACAGTATGAAGATTATGTGGTAGCATCGATTTCTGACAGTCCGAAACCACCACCACAAAGGGTTACTTTGACTTTGCCTGTAATTAATAAAGCAGCAAAAGTTGTGTTCATGGTCACAGGATCAGATAAAGCTCATGCATTAAAGGTAAGATATTTTCTTATCATTATTATTGTGTCATATTTGAAACTTGCCAATGTAATAAGTCTACTGATTGTACTCTGCTTTTAATAACCCCTGAATAAATCTACACGGCAACTTGAACACAGGAGCAACGGCCCAAAGTGCAAGAACCAAAAACTGGTGATAGGGATTTATTTGACTTCAAAAAATATATCAGGATGATTTATGGATAAACTACTGTTTCTATGATATATTTACATTTAGATTAACAGTCAGATTTGTATAATATAAACTGAGCTATATTTAATAGTAACAATAATAATAGCATACTGTGTGAACACATTTACCATATTATACAATTAACTATCTATAACAAATATAACTGATTAACTAGGTTATAATAGTACTCCTTAAGATGTGACCCTTCACACTCAGACTAACATCATGAAGGCGCCAAAGATGGCCCAGATTGGCATAAACCGCTCTGAGTTTCACTATACGTGAATTGATCTCATCACTCACGTCACCACCAGCACTTAGACAGCCATCCATTTACACGAACTCGACTACTTCCAACTTCAATAGTGAGTCCAGGTTCAATGTCCCGCCAGTGTTGTAAAAGTATTTTGCACTTAGGAGGTGCAAAGCAAACGCCATTTATTATGATTTTTATTTGAACATATAAACATTATTACAAGGGGGCTACCGAATACATATGCTCCACACAATAGTAGTGAGGTTATGAAGAGATAGATAATGTAAAGTGTGTATAATAAAAGAACAACAACGAACACATATGAGTGTATGAGTGAAATAATAATAACGAGAGAGACAGTTCAATGAGCAAATAATAAACTTCTCAGCCACATTCTTCCTCAATAGACAATCCTAAATAGCAGTCCTGTCGAACGAGTCGTAGTTGGCTCTGATGTCAAGAAAGGTAACAATTGTTGGCCTGCAATAGTTATGGCGGTATCCTAACATTTTGTGAAGGGTGAAGATACGATCGATACATTCTCAAATAGAACGAAAGCCAACCTAATCCTCGCGAATCAACCTCTCCTGGATGTTGAACGATTTGCAAGGTTTGATGGAAGCCAATAATTTGGACGCAATCTGAAGTCAATGTAGCTCAACCGGTTTATCATGGTATAAAGGCCTAATCACTACTAAGAGGCAGCAGGTACAATGGGGCAGACATGTGCCTTCTAGTTAAACATTTATGAATTATGTACCATTAGTTCCCTTCACAATTTTAAACAGAGGAAGAACGACAATATTGGCAGAATACAATGAATTCATTGTATTTCTTTGCTTTCTCTCTTCAGCTACACAGAAGCCAAGATTTTTAGTCATTTCCAATTTTTAGAAAGTGAATTGTTCATCAACGATAAATAAGTCATGTGTAATGAGAAATCAGTTAAGAATTAAAGTTTTTAAAGGAGTTATGATTACATAAGGTAATAGTTTTTGAATATTAAGATAATGTAATTACACGTTATGACCACGATGTTTAGAAGTTCAGAAAAAAAAGATAACCTGTAAGTTCAACTCATTAAATTGTGATTTCGTTTAATTGAGAAAAAGAGCGTTCAAAATGTTTGTTTTGTGTGTGTGTGTTACTAAAACATCTGAATTTATTTATTTAAACTCATATACATTGGTACTAGGAGGCACCAAACAGATATCCGCCACATAAATCACTTGCTTTATGTGAGGGATGGCGTACTGCCTGGGCGCCTAAACCGAAGCAGGTGGTTTTCTTAGGGGACCACACCCCGAGTCTTCGACCTAAAGGTCTAGTCCACAAGGCAGTGGAGCCACGTAAGGAAATGCAGTCCTATGGTGGCCGGTGACCAATAATTGGTTCATACGCCATTTGCTCCCTCAGGATCCTGGAGCGTGCTATCGAACTAGGCTGGAAGTTTTCTCAAGGGTTACGTTTTTTGAATTATAGTTATAACCATAAACCTTCGTACAAGTGTGCATATACAATACATCCAGAGTAACGTGTGACAGATGTTTATCTACTTTTGTTTGTGTTATTGACCATAATGTTGTTCATAGTAGAACCAATCTTACAGTCGAGAGTGTGCTTTTAAAAGTTCTTTTAGTCTTTAATAATTGGAAACAATTAAACATATTAGCTGATATGTAGGAAAGAACTAGAAAGCAACGAAGTATAATAAAGTCATCCTTATTCTGCAAAAGTTGTCGCTCTTGCTTTGCTTAAACCATATATCATTATACCTTTCGTGCAAATTTGTTTAGTTTAGATCAATGTACATTATGTAATAAAATATGCATAGGTCATATTGTCTAATCGTTTTTATTTGCTCAATCTGGGATACCATGCTAAACCTAGATTACGTCAGTAAGTAACGTAAAATCACATCTAATTGTTTCGCCGTTTTTCCAGCTATTATTATGATCAGATAAAAAAACCACCTTTCTGTTTATAAACAATAGTTGTATTAATCAATTAATCCTTTATTGATGCTGCTCTCTTTCTCTTCCGTCTAGTCTGTTCACCAATCACCTAATCCAGGTCCTTCTATGCCGTGTTCATTAATTCATCCAGTTTATGGAGAACTAATATGGATTGTAGATAAAGCTGCTGCCAGTTTATTGAATACATAAATCAACTGTATTGTTGTCAATATATTTCATTACATGTTTACTTCCTACCATAATCTTCGAATTACATTACTTGAATAAAGCTCAGAACAACAATTAAGACAGAATAATATAAAATTCATTCTATTTTGTAATTTCTCATCAGCTTCTTACAACCATATATTTATTTATTTATTTAAATACATAAACATTGATACAAGGAGGCAACAAATAGATATGCGCCACATAAATGATTCGATTTGTGTGAGGGCTGTGATACTCACCGGATGCTCAAACCGAAGAAAGTGGTTTTCTTAGACGGCCACACTCGGAGTCCTTAAGCTAATGGTCTGATCCACAAGGCAATGGAGCAACGTAAGGAGATGCAGTCACATGGTAGTTAGTGACCAACAATAGGTTCACACGCCATTTGTTCACTCAGGATACTGGAGCCCATGTTCACCATTGGTTTGGAATCAAGGTTTCCCAACTCCCTTAGGTGGACTCTCTGTATCTATCAACCCGGTTAAAGCGCCGGACATTTGCTTTTTGTCCTCTCAATTTCGTAAACAACAGTGATGCCGCGAAAAGGAAGTGAGTAGGACTTCCCTGGTAGTGGTTGTATGCACGTGACCATGTGAGAGCATTTGGTGAGGGAGAGTTGACTCTCCCCACTCTCGACCATATCAGGACATCTGGGGGCTACAACCATGTATGTATTAAAATGTAATATTGAGGTATGACATAATGTAATAAATCCTTTATATCTATTTTCAAGTAATCTGAAACTTATGTAAACTCTTCACAATTTCTGAGATTATCATACTATTCATCTTAACAGTTTTTAGAATCCACCCAATTACGGCTTCATTTACCTATGTTTTTGTAATCCATCTCTATTTAACCTCACATGTGTTTATATATACATGGTTATCTCTGTTCTTCTAATTCTTTCGGTCATCAATATCAGTTACTTCACATGACATCATACCTCAATGTCGCACTTTAATACACATCATTAGTTGTAAGCAACTTATAAGAAATCACGAAATAGAATGAACCCATATTATTCTGCTTCAATTGCTGTTTTGGCCTTGATAAAGTTCGTAAAAGGAACCAATTGTAGGAAATTACAGTATTGTTTTACTTAAGGATTAATTTATCCTATATGGTGATAATCTGTCAATACTATTTAATAATGAGTAATTTATATAATTTTGATAGATGTGTGTCAAATTAAATGGTTAATTTATTTGGCAAATATATTTCCGTGAATTTTTGTTAAATCTTGGATGTTTAATTTTACGATTAGTTGATAACTCTTGTTTATATCTTATCTTATGAGACATACAAAGTATTAGACCATTTGTTTGCATACATCCAGTCTAGAGTAAGGGAATATTATTGTTATGGATAATATACATAAAACCATCTGTTTGTGAATCGTAGAAATAAATGAGAGCCAACAAACGAGTATTCATTTAGAATGGTCAATGCGATTGATGACAAACAATATATAAATCAGAATCGAAGGAAATCACATAACCCCTCAAAATTAACTGCTAAAAATAGATTAATGTACGATTCTAAACCAGGTGAATCGACAAGCGTACCGTTTTCAAATCTGGATAAATCATTAGTGCCTTTAAAGTGAGTTCCTGAAGTTTTTTGTTGTTGAGAATCTTGAGTAATGAAGTTCTTTCATGTTGGAAGGGAAACAGTTATCACCAGTTTCGTTAGATGATGTTTGCACTGTATCATGAGTTGGTTAAAGTATAGAACGTCTGCTATTGAATAACAACTCGGTGGTTCAACGGTTAGGTGCTCAAAGTGAGACCTGAGTGTTCTGTATCTGATCATTAAAGGCGTTGTGCATGTTAACCACTTAGGAGTTCTGTACATGAACAAAATAGATCTTTTAAGTATGGGCTGATCCGGCAGTAGAGTTTTCATAAGGCTACGTAAAATTAATTTCAATATGACTCGGCAGTCAATTCAAATTCGTTTTCTGAAATTTGCTATACACTTTATCGTATTAGGAAGAAAGACGCTACCTGTTTTCGGGTCTGAAATCTTTTTTTCAAGACTACCGCTGAATTACTATCATTCCTTTTTGTTCAAATACAGTTGATTATAAGTATACTTTAGTGGAAACTGCAGTGATATCTGCTAATACGGTAAACCGTAAGTTTACGGAGCAACATTGGATCTCAGCAGCATCTACCGCATTGATAGATGCTCGAAAACTTGTTCCATCTGGATCTGAACATAACGAAGAGCGGAGTCAGCCCAACCACCGACTGCCTCGACGTGCGATGTCCAGTGGTATAGGAGTAGGTCGGAAGAAAGCTAGGGGCGGTCAGACCAAAACATGGCACAAGTCCATGAAGTCACAGACAAGTGGACTGAGTCATGTTGGTAGGTGTAGACTACCTGGTTGGGGACCGCGAGATGATAGCAACCGATGGTTAGAGACCTTGAATGACATGGCTCAAAATCGTTTGCAATGGAGCAGGTGCATCCACTCTTAGTGTTCTCCCAAATTTTAATCTGATTACTCCTTGTCTCTTTTTTCTCTTCCCAAATCTATTTCACTGGATTATAATCCTTGAATAACATCGTCAAACCCTAATCTTTTCGATTACTGCTTTTACTCTTACCACCTCTACCACTACGAGATTTGAATGGACAACTGCATCTCTGTGCCAATGTGGTGTGGCAACTCGAACTGACGTGCGTACGTACGAAGCTCTACGTTGTTACTGACTGACTGATACTTTATTGTTTTCTTTTGGTGGTAGCCTTTATGAAAATACTATCAACATGAGAACAAAAGACTTGATCCCTCTTCAATATGAATCGAGATTTCAATAGAATCTGGTCATTTTCTTCTAACAGCAAAATAGCTAAGAATATTTGAGCGAAAAGTTTTTTTCAAAAACTTAAACATCAGGCTCTACAGTTACAAGTACATAATGATTGTGATATTTTATAAAGGACAAAATTAAGCATTCATTAATGAATTTGCCAATGTTAAAAAGTGTGGGCGTTTGCATCTATTACGGCATAAATACTTTAAAATTGTGTTATTTGTAAGTTAGAAAAGTCAGGATGGTTTTTAGCAGTGTCAAGTTATGATAGTAATTTAATGAAGTAACTAAAGCCTGTCGTATCTCGAGAAAATAACATGAATTGAGTGCTTTCTAATGTTATTCAGATGCAGGAGTTTTATATTGAGTTTTTTGGACCCTAAGATTGTTTGATTTTATCAGCTGGTGCAAATCAGAGTAAAATAAGATTTGACTCACAGATTGTATTCGTCACAGGTCACACTTTTGGTGCCATTGTTGGCCATGGAGTACTGGACAATTGTTTTTTTTCTACTAAAGAACTCCTAAACTGTGTACATCCAAATGCTTCATATCTCATAGCAAATGCCTGACTATCAGAACTACTCGGTCAGTGCGCAGTGATACAATGCGGACTTAAATCAATTCGCGATATAGTTTTGAGATGATCCATATTTGGACGAAACAGCTATACAATACTCCTTGATTTCAGCGGTGCCTCGAATGAAATCAGTTTGTGACCAATGTAGCTTACAAATGAAATCATTTCCCACAAAACCTTCCAACTAGGTCGTATCTTCATTTAACTTGTTACAATTGATTGATCACTGGGTGGTGATCAATGTCTTGCTTGTCTAGTCACGGCTCGGATAGCTCAGTGGTAACGTCTCTGACTGTGAAGCTGGGTGACACGAGATCGAATCCGCCAGGGAGCACCAGTCCCCTCAAGATTACAGGCACACCTTGCTGACGAGTGCCAAGTAGCACAAAACCCGGGTCCAGGGTTTCCTGTTGACTACCTCCAACCACCATCTAAATCATTTAACTTGTGTTTTTTTCGCTTAAATAAGAAAATGTAAATGTCCTACAAATTCGATTGTAAGAAACATACTACTGCCAAGTGAAAATAAGTAGTTTGAGAGTCGCAGTCGCATTTTTAAAATGCTAACGTTATGTTAAAAAAGAACTAGGAATTTGTCACTTCATAGACACTCACAGTATGTGATCTGAATCATGTATCCGTTTCATTAATAATAACAGAAGCTAGGACGATTACTATGAATTATATTATCTACTTCAGTTGTTTCTCACCGCATAACACATTATGTTCGTCATGTTTATATAATGTAGATTCGATCCATATATAGATATCGATTTGGTATTGATAAGTATTAAACAGTCCAAAACTAAGGCCTATGATTACTCATCAATTGCGTAGTCTAGTATCCGGATTACAACTTCGTCGATATAGTTAGATCGACACCAAGAGTTAGACGGGCACCACACTGATTAATGGCTTGTGGTTGACTAATGTAAATATTATAATGGTTGAGATCATGAGGTCATGGAAGCAATGGACGGCCGTTTTGTCCTATTGTGCGACTCCTCAGCAGCGCGCATTCTTATGATACTAGCATAAATATCATAGTCCTTTTATGAATCTTTTTATTTAATATTATCCTTTACTCTCTAGCATCATCATATGTGATGCTAACGTTTCATTTCATAATTTTTATTGTTTTTGTCCGTCATAATTATCTGGCTTACTCATGTAGTCATTTATTTTTATCTATAAATTCTGTTTACTATGCTTCTGCATTTTTAAGCCTTTTAATCATTTGCTTTTTCATCCTTTTTAATTCGTTGCAATTTTAGACTGTTTACAGTTGATGAGAAACTTTAAAATATTTTGGTTAATTCATTTTATTTCTTCAAAATTTGTCGTTCTTGCTATCTGTATACATGAAATGTATACTTATTTATATTTATATGTGATTTCCTTTGTTTAAGATTTAGTGGAGTCACATTAATTGCTCAGAGAATGTTATTCTGAGTCAAGACAGACAGATCATAAGCGATCTCACAACAAAATAATAAATGAACTGGGAATATGGGCGCGTTATTATCAATTATTTAATGATTCACGTAGTCATAGCTACCAATCAAATATTCTTGATAAACTAGCAATTCATACGTACAGGTAATTACTTGTATTAGGTCAAATTATGTATTGCAAAACTATTCAACTTTGTGAAAATGAAAAAGACTGATTTTTAAAAAATCTTAATTGTATTTCAGTGATT